ATTCTGTCCTACAGATCAGCGGTCCCTAGCACACAGTTGGCACTTAATAAATCTGCTAAATGACTAGGCACTGTATGTTGTACGTAGACTTGCACTGAAGATCAGGTGTGTTTTCTGCCCTGCGGGAGCTTATCATAAAAATCAATAGTAGCCCCAGAGACCATGTTTTTCAACTCTCAGTTATTAATTCTGAAGCATAGCTACTAAATTAAATAGCATACTGCTATCAGCTTACATCCTTATTTTACATACTTTTTATTTTTCAAACTCCAAGGCTAGCATGATCTGAAATAATTAAAATTATCTCCTTGCTCGATTAGAGTGGCTTTAAAACAAGACATCTCTGATATAGTTTTTAGATTAAGTTATAAATGTTCACTTTAGAACTACCTGAAGATTGATAGAGATGCATTTGAAAAGCATTATTTTTTTTTATTGATTCTTAATGTAGTAAATTACTGAAGTTATTTGGCCGCAAGCAGAAATGGCCTGAGATGCGGCTCACACTGACTCTCCCAGTAGGGCCATGATTTGCATTAATTGCATTGCGACTGCACTTACTTATATTAAAAGGCTTCTACCATAATTAATCCTTTTTATTTCAAATCATTTTGGCACAATTTCTAGCTATAAGCACTCATAAAAGACAGACAGTTGAAAAATGCGTTATAGGTTTTTTTCCCATATACCTATTGCTATTTTTTCATGACAAGTAGTTATTGATATGCTTCTAGGAACAAGTGAGGTGCAGCTGACTGAGAATTAAGGCCAGTATGAAAAACGCTAAGTGGATTATTTTGCATAAAAAATTGGCAGTTTTTGAAGTTGTATAATTAACCTGTGTTTAGAAAATACGTTGATTTATGCTTACATTTGTATCTCAGTTGCATACATTATGGAAATTTAATTTATAACCCATTTAGCTGATGCAATCATAGTTTTTAGTGCTATCATTTATTAGTGCTTGTATATTAAATGCTCTAAAGGTTTAAACCTGCCTCGTGTAAAAAATTATACCTATGCATTTACATTTTATGAGTCACAGTGGAATTTCTATTTAAAATTCAGGTAGCTCTGATAGATTTAACAAACTTCACAGGTTTATTGTTACTAATGCAGAAATGGCAAACAATGACCTTATGTATTGAACATCAGATGATTTACACTTTGAGTTTACTTTACAGTCCACTGTACAAATGAGGCTTTTCTTCAGCACCTGGGATCAGTCACGTCGTCTTCTGCAGAATGCTCTCCTTGGCTTTGAAGGCATCATTCATTTAGAAGTAATGGGGTTTATAAGTGCTTCAGGTTAATAGCATTAGCCATTCTTAACTTGAAGCCAACCGTGGCTTCTCAAAACAGCTCACTCTTCACATTATCAGTAGGTGACTTAAGTGCCAGTTGCCATTTTATTACTCATTCTCTAATTAAGAAGTCCTTTTATGCCATCTTTTCAAAATTAATGGGGTAATCATTAGTCTTCAAATCAAATAAAAGCACAGGGACATAACAGTCCAGTTTCCCTGGCACAGAGCACCTGTGGTCTCCACTGGGGGGAAGATGGGGAGCCTGGCCTCCTGAGACACGGTGACGTCCCCCGGGAGTGTGGCTCCAGGTGTGGCCAGTAGCTTCTGAGCCGAAGCCAGTGCACTCCGGATGTGTACTCCTGGGAGGATGTTTCATAGCTGTTTTCTAGTTTCCTCCAGTCGCATTAGTGGGTGAGAGTTTAAAATGTGGGTCTCGGCGGGTATCTGAGCTTTCTCTGGACGTTTAGGGGGAAAGGGGGAAGCACGCATATGAGTGCGTAAGGGTCAGTGATTATAGACTGCCACCCGAGTATGAGATAGAGCAGCGGTCCCCAACCTTTTTGGCACTAGGGACCAGTTTCATGGAAGACAGTTTTTCCACGGGGCGGCGGGAAGGAGGACATGGTTCAGGCAATAATGCGAGCGATGTGGGGAGTGGCAGGTGAAGCTTCGCTCGCTCGCCCGCGCGCCACTCATCTCCTGCTGCGCGGCCCGGTTCCTAACAGGCCCCGGACCGGTACCAGTCCGCAACCCGGGGGTTGGGGGCCCCTGAGATAGAGGGTTCAGTAGTGCAGCAGTGCTGGAAGCTGTGACTACGGGAGGGTTCCTCCCACGGTGCACAGTGGCACAAGGCTGCCATCTTTAATGTGGGGAAGGTGGGAGGGGCAGTGCCAGCTCACTCTGGCATTAGTTACGTCACACAGGTCTGTCTCACTAAACCCTGTGCTTAGCCTGTAGCGTGTGTGGGTGTGGCCAGGTGGGTGGCCTCCTGGAAGAGTGACTTCTGAAGTTAATTTCATGGCTGAGAGATCACCCCTTAGATTAAATTTTGCTTTATTTTAGTTGCATGCATAGCATCATAGCACTGAATCCTCAAACAGTGGTTTAAAGAAGATCTGAGTGTGTCACACGGCATAGCTGATGGCAGTGGTCGCTAAGGCAGAGTTAGTCCAGCCCTCACTCCCTGTCTGTCTGTCCTTCTGGGGTCACAGACTGCCCTGCAAACAGAGAAAGGTCCATGATCCCCTGTGCTCAAGGCGACGCTTCCAGCTCTGCATTTACCAAGCGAGGGACTGACACCCCTTCTCCCCTGAGAGCGGGGGTGACTACAGTCACGGGAGCTTCTCAGAGGATCCGTGTCTCTGCAGATTAGATGTATGGTAACAAAAATGGCCTTTGTGGGGGAAATCCAGATTTCCCCTTGACTTGCACGTAAGAATCACTTACCTTACAGTCAGTCGGATTTTCCAGGGGCCCAAATGGAAACGCGGGCACTGATGCTGCCTGCTTGGCAGGACGCCTGTTATGTAGCAAGCGTTCAGTAAGAGGTTACTATTTTCATTAGAACATTTTTGGCAAGAAAGATTTCTTGGGGCTTCTAAGTCATCTGCTACAATAAAATAATAATGCTTCTGAAAATTTTACAGCACATTTCTGATTCCTTGTTGCATTTTACAGCCTCAGGCCATAGGGATATTTATCATGCCAGGTGAACCCTGACATTATATTGGAAAACTTTACATAACTGTATTTCCTACCCTCTTTTGCTGGAGAATCTCTGGAGATTAATATAGTAATACTAACACTTAGTGTAATCCAACACCACTGGTCATCAGGGAAATGTAATTGAAAACCACAATGAGATTAGATTACCCCGTTGCACCAACCGGAATAACTAAACTTTAAGAGTGACAGTACTGATAATTGGTGAGAACGTAGACCACTTAGGACCTTCCTGCATTGCCGGTCATGGCGAAAAGAAATTGTGTTTCGGAAGACAGCACATCAGTGTCTAATATAGTTAAACCTTCCTTGTGCTCCAGTACTTCCACTGTCACCCCGCCTGCTCAGGTGTATAATAAAGAGAAATCAGAGCACAGACCCACAGAAAGGCAGGCCGGTGACTGATATAGCAGCTCTGTGATCGTAGCCGAGACTGGAGACCACTCACGTGTCCGTCGTCATGTGACTAGGTAGAGCTGTTAACAACAGTAGCATAGGTGAATCTCAAAAACAGTATGTTGTGAGAAGACAGATAGGAAAGAACACATACTGTATATTAGCCCCAATTCTGAAGCTCCAGAACTGGCAAAACTTATCTGTGGTGACAGTAGAGTGAGGGTTAGCCCGAGGGAGGGAGGGTGTTGACTGAGGGCTGAGGGGGCGCTGGGTTTGGGAAGGGGTTGTAAATGTTCTGTGTCGTGATCTGAACGGTCGTTACACAGCTGTGAGCAAGTACTGGCGTGTTGTACATTTCACTTTATGTGAATCATACCTTAATATAAATAGTTGCAAAAATCATTACACATTGCCATCCTTAGACGTAAAGGTAGACAGTAACTTACAGGGAAAACACTGATCTGGGCGTCAGGGAATCTGGGTTTTGACACCCGTTTTGCTGCCTACTAACTCAATATCTGGACAGATCTCCAGAGTTCTAAGGCCCGATTTCTTCATTTTACAATATGTGTTGGCAAACTACAGCCTGTGGGCCTATAGCCTGCCACCTATGTTCGTATGGTCACCGAGCTAAGAATGCTTCCCCCCCCCCCCATTTGATGGTGAAAAAAAAAATCTAAAGAAGAATATTTCTTGACATTGGAAATTACCTGAAACCCAACTTTGGCCACATTGTGCTCCTTTTGTGCTACAGGGCAGAGTGGAGGGGTGGTCACCGACGTGGTCTGGCCTGCCGTCGTGGGTAGAATTGTGACCCCCCCCCCCAAAAGATGTGCTCAAGTCTTAATACCCTGTACCTGTGATGCGACATTCAGAAAGATGAGTCTTTGCATATGTAGGCAAGCTCAGGTGAGGTCGTATTGGGTACAGTGGGTCCCAGAATCCAGTGACTGGCGTCTTCATAAGAGAAAGGAGAGAGACACACACAAGGGGAGAGCAGCATGTCCAGAGGCAGAGGCTGGAGGGGCACAGCAACAGGCCAGGGCCCAGCAAGGTGCTGGCAACGCCGGAGCTGGAAGAGGCAGGAAGGACCCTCCCCTAGCGCCCGCCCAGAGAGCGTGGCCCTGCTGCCACCTTGAATTCAGGCCTTCAGACTGGGAGACGATAAGTTTCTGTTGTTTGAAGCCAGCCAGTCTGTGGTGCTTTGTTACAGCAGCCCTAGGAGACTGATGCACCTGAAAAACACTTCACGGAAAGCATCTGGCAGGCTCTTGCAGCATGAAGGCTGTGGCTCTTAAAAATCCCCATTGGCATTTCAGCCCCAAAATTCTTTGGTAGTCTGTTCTAGAAGTTTCTACGTAGTGAATGTATGCATTGAATGCTTGAACTGTGGCCTGGCACGTGGTGAACGCTCACCAAATACTAGCTTCCACCATCCTCCTCATGGAGGAAAGGCGTCTGCTGTCTTAGAATTCTGTTAAATATCAAATTGGACATACATCTCCTCAGTTTTAGGAAGTATGAAAAAAGAGTTCCTATGAAATGCGAATCAGTGGTCTTTGTTCTCATTTGAAGGCTCTCTATGAAAATATGCTGGTGGAATTGCCCTTCGCTGGCTTTTTCCTGTCCAAGCTGCTTGGAACCAGCGCGGATGTGGACATCCACCACCTGGCGTCCTTAGACCCCGAGGTGTATAAGAATCTGCTGTTTCTCAAGAGCTACGAAGGTGACGTGGAGGAGCTGGGGCTGAACTTCACTGTGGTGAACAACGACCTCGGAGAGGCACAGGTGAGTCGGGGCTCTGGCATGCAAAGACGTTTGCGTTCCGCTGTATGAGCTTGTGCGCATCTTCCTTGGAAGAGTCCCGGGGCTGAGAGTAGAGCTGGGGGAGTTCTGGTGGTAAGCGCAGCCCTCGCCACCCCTCGCGATGCCAGGCTGCCGGGCACAGCAACCGTCCTCCTGTGACGGTCACTCGCGTGGCTGTGAGCTAACCTTGCCTCTCGCCTCATTTCTGGAGCCTGGGGGGCAGGGGGTGCTCCTTTGTCCTCATCCAGCCGAGTGGCACTCGGCAGCTCTTAACGCGGGTCGCAGACCTTCACTATCCACCTGCGTGCTCCTGTTATTTTTATCCTTGAGAAAAGTAAATAACATACTAGAGAGCCAAGCTAAGTTTTTGAATAGCTGCTTTATTGAGATACGATCCATGTACCATGAATTCCGCCCTGTAGCCTGTACAAGGCGGGTTAGTACGACCAGCTCCAGCATCCACGTTTAGGACACTGTTATCACCACGGAGACTCCGTGTGCCCAGCAGCACGTCCCGCCCGTCCTCAGTCTAGGCGAGCACTGGCCCACTTCCTGTCGCTGTGCACTTGTCTCTTCTGGGTGTTTTTCATACCTGGAACCTTAGGGTGTGTGGCCTCTGGTGCCTGGCTTCGTTCACTGGGCGTTGCAGGTGCGCTTTACTCCCTTTTCTGGCCAGATGACGTGTGGATATAGCACATTTTCTTTACCAGCTGATAGGTGTTCGGGTCATTTCCACCTTTTGGCTCTTAGGAATAATACTGCTCTGAACACTCATGTACACCATATGTACTGAATGATTTAACACCCAGGATTTGCTTCAGTTGTCATGAGAACCAGGCCAGTAGGTGAAGGCACAGGTGGCCTAGATTGGCCGAGAGGTGGAGCTTGCTGAAGCTGGTGGTGGAGGCGGGCGTGCGGGTCATCGTACAATTCTGTCTACTTGAACACGCGCGGACATGATCCCACAGTCTGCAGGCCTTTAAAAGATGCACACAGGCAAATCCAATTGTTTGAGCGCTTTGAAAGTCATATTTGTTCATATCTCATTGGAATTTTGAAGTAACCAACTGGTACTATAATGCTGATTGGGTCGTTGTGTTTCCGCTTACTTTTAAGTGCCTCTTGCTTCCTTGTGCAATAATAATAATATCCAGTTAATTCTGGGTAAAATAAGGGAGATAATGAGTGACCCTAAAGGTTAAGCATTAATTCACTTGGAATTTAAGATTGTAGAGCAATTTTGACTAACTGAAGGATAAAACGTAATTTTTTCTCCCTGATGAAAATAGTTCCATGTAGCATTTTTGCTTTATATTTCTCCGTATCAGTTAATTTCTCTTTTCCTATTAGTTATACTCCATCACCACTATTCCCATTTTCGGAAGTCTTTTCTCCGTTCTGCCATTTAATATGAACGCTTTATTTGGTAAGAGTTTAAGTGAACTGTGTACATAAAATATAACTATATGATGTTACAGTTTCATTTAACACTCTAATGAGGACGGATTGTGATGAATTTAACTTTCTGGTCATGTCGTATGTTAGTGAGATACACTAACATACTAGGAGAAATGATAGAATAAAAATCAAATGTTTAGGGCTTCCCTGGTGGAGCAGTGGTTGAGAGTCCGCCTGCCGATGCAGGGGACGCGGGTTCGTGCCCCAGTCCGGGAGGATCCCACGTGCCGCAGAGCGGCTGGGCCCATGAGCCATGGCCGCTGAGCCTGCGCGTCCGGAGCCCGTGCTCCGCAACGGGAGAGGCCACAGCAGTGAGAGGCCCGCGTACAGGAAGAAAAGGTAACACTTGAGTTTCAGATTCACAGGTGATCATCAGCTGGTACTGACTTCCAAAAGAAAAAAAAAAAAAAAAAAAAAAAAAGCTACCTGTTTCAGAAATAGGTGACTAAATCCTAAACAGGAATAAAGGAAATAATGCTTCCTGAGACCTCCTCCTTCCTCCTGCTTGGTCGTCTAGGCATCTTTGAGAACTGGCATCGATGCTGTAAGATAAAAGGATGAGGGGCTGAGAACCAGATTTCATTTGCTTGTTTTGTTTTGACCTCTTCTTGCATCTCATAGAGCTGAAATTTCAGCACCGCAAAACTGAGATGTTTTTTTAGAGACGGGATTTATTATTGTCCGAAGGACACGTCAACATGCAGACAGTGATGCTGCTGTTGCCTCGCGCCACCTAGTGGCACGACTTAGAAGAAACGAAATAAAAGCTTTGGGGCCGTCGCCGAGGCCTTTGCTAATGGGGGTATTTCCCATTTTCCTTCTGAAATAGATGGTAATGGTGAGATGTCGCGTATGTAAGAGTTCCGTTAAAGCGCCACTGATAATACTGGAATCTGTTAAAAGCAAAAGTGTGAAGTCAGGATGTTCCAGTTATTCATAGAAATTCCCACTGAGTAGAGAGATTATAGATGATAATGCGTAAGAATGAGTATATTAAGGAGTCTAATTGGAAAAATTAAAGTCACCGGTAAAGTACCTAATTTGGGGAGAGATCGTATGGATCTGCAGAAATATATGTAAAAACCTAGTTCTCACGTACAGATTGAGGTTTATAAAACATCACGATTTAAAGATGTGTAACATGCAAATGCTTCACTATGTGGCAGGTTATGTTAACGAATCTGCCCTTTTAAAATAATGGTGTTGGGGCTTCCCTGGTGGCGCAGTGGTTGAGAGTCTGCCTGCCGATGCAGGGGACACGGGTTCGTGCCCCGGTCCGGGAAGATCCCACATGCCGCGGTGCGGCTGGGCCCGTGAGCCATGGCCGCTGAGCCTGCGCGTCCGGAGCCTGGGCTCCGCAACGGGAGAGGCCACAACAGTGAGAGGTCCGCGTGTCGCAAAAAAAATAAATAAATAAATAAAATAAAATAATGGTGTTGCTCTCCAGCTTTTTTCTTTAGTGTAATCAATATGGCTGCTTGTTAGCCTACTCAAAAGTGAACCTGAAGTTTTAGATTACTAATTTATGCACATATCTCCCTTGAGGAAAATGCTCAGCATTTAAGATGGATCCATAAATAATCACTGTTCTGTAGACGAGCACTGAACTTGGATCATGAGAGCCTGGCTAAAGCCCTGGTTTTGCTGCTTTGCTGTGTGACCTTGGGCGAGTCACAGACCCCGTGCTCATCTTCAGAAGGGGGTAAGCTGCCGTGAGGATGAAATGAGCCCCTGTGCGTGAGTGACTGCGGGGGCTGGGGCAGAGGGGGCAGTGCCTGTGCACTCCCAAGGCCGTAAGGTGTAGACGTCCAGGGCGGCAGAGAGGAGAGCTCTTGCTTTAAAGATTCCATTTTTAAAGATTTAAATATGCCCCTCAAAACGGAACTCTGAGGACAGATTTGACGTGATTTAAACATACATAGCTTTTTAGGTGTAGCCTGAGAGAGGAGCTTAAATTCCCAGTGTAACCGCTTTAAAGTTACTAGAAACATCAGTGCTGTCTGATTAGCCAGGTAACGGGGGCTTTGGAAGCTCTCTAAACGATACCTTCATGGGTCCTTTTTCTTCCAGATCACACAGTACATCATCATTTATTATCTGCTTTTAATCCACTTAAAGGAAGGGGGGTGGCGTCTTAGCTGTGGAAACAGAACCGCAGCTCCTGTGGCTCGGCTGACAGGAAACCTGTCGGGAGAGCGGCACAAGAGACAGCGCGGCCTCGCGCCAGAGCCCCTCCTCAGACCTGGCGGTTCCAGCCCTGAGAACGCGAATTAGTGAGCAGTGAAGCGTCATCTGATACAGCTGCACAGCTTTGTTAGCACTAGGTGGTTGTGTAACCATCAGACAGAGGATAATTTAAGTAAAGCCATCACCAGATCTTAAAATAGCCCTTTCTGTAAAGTGGTAAAACAATTGGGGTAAAATGCCATCACCCAGAGGGAGGGGGGTGTCTTTGTTGCACTTGGAATATAGTAACTACCAAGAGCCTAAAGGCTGTGAAGGAAATCCTGGCGGCGGGGGAGGGTATCAATCATTTTCCCATGGTCCATAATCTAAGCAGTCCTCTGCTTTTCCCCCCCAAGTTTGCCCTCTACTTACTAGGCGTATTGAGCCTGTTTTGAATGTTACCCAGTTTCCACTGGCAGCAGTCCCCTTACTAAATAACTCCTCCACTCTGGAATGTCTTTGTTCACTATTTTGGATGTATTTATATTTCTTTATCCTTGGCATACATTACCTCATCCACACGCATTACGAATGCATTTCTTTTGTTTAAGCACTAGTAAACGAGGATTCTGAAGTCTACTCTGGTAAATTAGGCTTACATATTTGTAGCTGTCTGTGGAGTTTTGTCTAGTCAGCTTTGCTTATGTGAGTTTACACAGTCACAATTCCAGGATGGACAAAGCAAGTATCACCGTGTCATAGCGTTCAGGGCCGGGTGACTTCTCTGTGGCACACAGTGAAGTGGGGTGCGGGGCACCCGAGTCCGGGCTCCCCATCTCTGCTGCAGCTCATTCCCCCCAGCGCTCCAGGGATGCTTCCCAGGGGTTCCTGACCCTGCGATTTTCTGAGTGTCATTACACAGTGATAAAGAAGTTCTTTCTAATGCTTGCAGATACACGAGAAATGGAGTTATTTCTAGTGATTACCACTAACTACCCTTTATATCATATTCAAAGTACTTTATGGTGGTAATGTGGAAGCAGAGAAATATATGCTACCTATATGTGCAAGTAAGAATAATCATTTTACTACAACCTTAATTCCTTAAGCTGCGTTTTCTCCAAAATGAATCCCTTCTGACTCGTGCTGATCATTCGGTTCATATCTTTGCACTTTGTGATTTCTTTTTTTTTAATTAATTTTTTATTGCCCTGTGTGATTTCTCATTATTTTTTTTTAATGGAATTGCCATGACTACATTGTAGCATCATTCCTTGGTACTTTGGAGAAAGCCGGGGTGGTTAATGATCTTAAAGACAGAATAAGATGCCAAGCTTTGGAGGGTCCCATCAGAGGACTCTTCCATCTGTGAGACCACACGTGCTGGTTTTCACTAAGATTCTCGTGTACAGAGCAACACAGTCAAGGACCCTTGAAACAGTTGTTCTTACTCTTGTTTTACCCTATACCTTGAGAAGTTTTTGACTCTTATGTTAATATTCACAGGTGGTTGAACTAAAATTCGGTGGAAAAGATATCCCGGTGAGCAGTGCCAACCGGATTGCGTACATCCACCTGGTGGCCGACTATCGGCTGAACAGGCAGATCCGCCAGCACTGCCTGGCGTTCCGGCAGGGCCTGGCCAACGTGGTGAGCCTGGAGTGGCTGCGGATGTTCGACCAGCAGGAGATCCAGGTCCACTTCCTGCACCTGGGGACACGGGTGTTTCCTGATGTGAAAGGCCTTCTTAAAATCTGCCTCCAGTTTTATAACCTGAACTTTTTTTTTTTTCAGGTATTAATTTCTGGTGCACAAGTTCCCATAAGTCTGGAGGACTTAAAATCCTTTACAAACTATTCAGGTATGTTATCACTACTAGTTATCCGTCCCTGAAAATGTTACAGATGGTCATATTTCCAAAGTAATTTCTAACATGCCTTTTTACATGGGTAATTCATTCATGATTTAAAACCCAGGCTGTATGGGGTTACAGTGAACTCGTCTTCCTGTCTCATTTCTCACCATCCCATTCCTCCCCTGCCCGTCCCCAGCAGGAGTAACCACTGGTCTTGGTGTCTTTACAAATACACATATAAATACAAATTCCATTCTTATTTTCCTTGCTTGTATACACTATGCTGCAGCCTGCTTTTTTCTCTTCGCAACTTACCTTGTTAACCCTCTTTTATGGCCACTGGGTTGCTTCCAGTCTTCTGCTTTGAAAAATAGGGCTAGACCAAAAAATAGAAAAACCTAAAAACTGAACCTCATCAAAATGTTTACTTTTGATTAAATTAAACTTAAAAGTTTTTACTCTTCAAGAAAATGAAAAACCAAAAAGAAGACATACAAATGGCCAGTAAGCACATAGAAAGATGCTCAGCAACGTTAGCCATTAACGAAATCACAAAAGCATAACTAGGTTGTTCCAAGTTGGATTGGTGTACTCTTGGGGCGTTTGTGAGGTTTTTTTGTTTTTCTTTTTTCTTTTGGCTGTGCCGCGCGTCATGCGGGATCTTAGTTCCCCAACCAGGGATCAAACCCGTGCCCTGTGCAGTGGGAATGTGGAGTCTTAAGCACTGGACCACCAGGGAAGTCCCATAAACTTTATTTTATATACTTCGGAGCAGTGAAAAGGAAAAAAAAAAATCATCCTTAAAACAACCACTATTATTTTCGTTTGTTTTCCTTAACCATAGTCTGTTATTTTGGTATTTTCAGGGTTTTTGGTAAAAATCAGCAGACTGATTTTTACATTTATATGGAAATGTGAAGGACCTAAAATAGCCGAAACATTTTATAGAAACAAAGTTGAAGGATTATCACTCTGATTTAAAACTTACTATAAAACCACAATAATTAAGACATTGTGGGATTGGCACAAGGATAGACATATTGATCAGTGGAACATAATTGGGAGTTCAGAAACAAATCCTTAGATTTACAGTTAATGATTTTTGACAGTTCAGTGGTACGTGGAAAAGAATGAATTTAGACCTTGACCTCACAGCATACGCAGAAATGATCAGAGACCTGTAGGTAAAGGCCAAAACTGTAAAACTCCTAAAAGAACATATAGGAGAAAACCTTCATGACTTCTGGATTAGGCAGAGTGTTTAGTTGTACAGCAAGAGCACGATCCAGAAAAAAGAAATTGATAGAAATTTGGTCTTTCTCAAAATTAAAGATGTTGCACTTCAAAAGATACCATTAAAAAAGTGAAAAAACAAGCCAGAGATTAAGAGAAAATATTTCCAAGTAATATATCTAATAATGGCTTATGTCCACAGTATGTAAAGAACTTTTGCAACTCAATAATATAAACAACTGAATTTTAGAACATGGGCAGAAAATAAAGTGTTTCACTTAAGAAGATATATAAGAATGTCTGTTAAGCAAATAAGCACATGAACAGATGTTTTGACACCATTAATTATTAGGGAAATGCAAATTAAATTCTGATGAGATACCACTACATACCCACTAGAATGTTCTCAAAGAAGACAGTGCTAAGTGTTACTATGTGAAGAAATTTGAACCCTCTTGCCTGGTGGCAGTGTTAAAATGGTAGAACCTCTTTGGAAAAGTTTACAGTTATATAAAAAGTTAATTGTGGAACAACTGGATTTTTGCAAAAGAATGAGGCTGTACCCCCCCACACACACACACACCATATGCAAAAACTAACTCAAAATGGATCAAGAACTTTAATGTAATACCTAAAACCATAAAACTCTTAGGAGAACACCGGGATAAATCTTCATGGCCTTGGATTTGGCAGCGGGTTCTTAGATACGACACCAAAAGCAGGAGCAACAGAAAATAAATAAATTGGACTTGATCAAAATTACAAGCTTTGTGCATCCAAGAACATTATTAAGAAAGTGAAAAGACAGCCTTCAGAATGGGAGAAGATATTTGCAAATCATATATCTGATGAGGGTCTGGTATCCAGAATGTGTAAAGAACCCTTACAACTCAACAAGAAGACAAGCCGGTTCAACGACGGGCAGAGTGCTTGAATAGACATTTCGCCAAAGAAGATATTACAAATAGCCAGTATGCTCAGAAAGATGTTCAGTGTCACTAACCACTACGGAAATGTAAACCAGAACCAGATGGCTGTGACTACACACACACACATACTCACACACACACACACACACACACACACACACACACACATTCATTGCTTGTGGGAATTTAAAATAGCCAACATGGAAAATGGTTTGGTGGTTCCCCGAAAAGCTCAACATAGAATTACTATATAATCCAGCAATTCAGGGCTTCCCTGGTGGTCCCGTGGTTAAGAATCTGCCTTCCGGGCTTCCCTGGTGGCGCAGTGGTTGAGAGTCCGCCTGCCGATGCAGGGGACACGGGTTCGTGCCCCGGTCCAGGAAGATCCCACATGCCGCAGAGCGGCTGGGCCCGTGAGCCATGGCCGCTGGGCCTGTGCGTCCGGAGCCTGTGCTCCTCAACGGGAGAGGCCACAGCAGTGAGAGGCCCGCGTACCAAAAGAAAAAAAAAAAAAAAAAAGAATCCGCCTTCCAATGCAGGAGACGTGGGTTCAATCCGTGGTCAGGGAACTAAGATCCCACGTGCCTCACACCACAGCTAGGGAGTCTGCGTGGCGCAGCTATTAAGCCTGCACACTCTAGAGCCCGTGCACCACACTAAAAGATCCCACGTGTCGCAGTGAAGATCCCACGTGCCGCAACTAAAACCCGACGCAGCCAAACAAATAAATAAATATTAAAAAAAAAAAGAATCCAGCAATTCTACGCCTAGGTCTATATCCAAAGGGATTGGAGGCAAGGACTGAAACACCTGTGTTCATGCAACATTGTTCACAGGAGCCAAAAGGTGGAAACAACCCCAGTGCCCACCTACAGGTGATGGATAAACGAATGTGTTGTAGACATACAATGGGAATATTATGAAGTCTTAAAAAGGAATGACGTTCAAATGTACACCACAACGTGGATGAATCTTGGAAACATTATGCTAAGTGAAATAAGCCAGACACAAAAGAACAGATACTGTATGATTCAACTTCTGTGAAATACCTGGAAGTGGCAAATTCCTAATCACTGAAAGTAGATGAGAGGTTACCAGGGGCTGGGGAGGGGGCACAGGAAGTTACTGCTTAGTGGTTATAGGATTGTCTGCTTGGGGTGATGAAAACGTTTGGGTTGGAAACAGCAGCGATGGTTGCACAACAGTGTGAATGTAATTTAACACCCTTGGATTATACACCTGAAAATGGTTTAAATGGTGAATTTTATGTTACATATTTTACGACAGTTTTAAAAAGAAACCCATCCAGACTCCTCTGTTCTGTTGAGTGCTGTTTCCCAACCTTTCCTCCAAGGTAAATTTTGAAAAGGTTTTGGAAATGGATCGTAGTGAAAGTTGCACAGTATCGTGAGTGTAATTTCGTTTAGTGAAACATCTTTAAGAGCACACTGAGAGACAGACCAGATCATGGTTGTCTATGGGGTGGACATGGGGGTCTTTTGAGGAAATGGATATGTTTTAAAACTGGATTGTGGTGATGGTTTCAGAACTATAAATTTACTAAAGTAAATTACGTATATATCCATGTGTGTCTATTTGTATGTATATAAATGTGTGCCTGTGTCTCCCCTGTCTGTAATTAATTTGTATTGCTCTAAATTTGAACTCTAATGTTTCTGTAAAGGCAGACAATATCTAAGGTCACGCTGTCCTCACTATCAAGTCTTCTGTTGAAAAGAATGAAATCAATACAAGCTTTCCTTTGCCAAGGAAGTGGTCTTGGCTTCTTTGCGTTATCCTGTCTGCACTGAAAGCATATGCCTTTAATGATCCTAGCTATTCCTATTCTAGTAAATAGGTTTAAAATATTGCCATATTCATTTTGGCGCCAATTAATGCACTTAAGATATTTTATTGATGGTATTTCTCTAGTATATTAACAATGAGGGAACAACATACAGCAATTATTTCAGTTTTAGGAAGCACTTAACTAGATTAAAAGCTGTAAGTAGCAGATATCCCACTTCAGAACAGTGGTCTAATTGAGTGCTGGTGTGGGTTGGTAACCATGGTCTCTACCTTGTTGTTGGAAGGATGGGTGATAAAACAAATTTAGATACTAAGATGTGTTGGCAAAGTAACTAGCTCTATTAAAAATAAAAATCCCAGTGTTTCTGCCATTTCTAGATGTGTGACCATCACGTAAATCCTTTGTTAGGTAGGGTTTGCTACTCAACAGAGGCTGATTTTTGACCCCTAGCAGAGTTCTTAAAACTCAGACCCCTTTGCAGCATCTTTTGCTACTAGGGTTCATCTTGTAGCTGCAGGGTGTTTGTTCCTCATTCTGGCCTTTGGTACTTTACCTTCTGAAGCTTCTCTCGCTGCTGTGTACTTGCCCATCACCTACCAGGACAGAATAAAGGTGTTTCTCTAGAGTTGCCTTTCAGCCGTGAGCTGAAAGAAGAAAAGACTGTTTATCACTGGACAGGCACGACGAAAAGGAATCACTCTTAAAAGTTTGTTCCTCTGGTGCCTTTAGGAGAATCTTGCTTCTGCAGTTACCTCGTTTTTAATAGAAACGTCTGTTCCTTTCGTCATAGGAGGCTATTCTGCTGATCACCCCGTAATCAGAGTCTTCTGGAGAGTTGTGGAAGGGTTCACGGATGAGGAAAAGCGCAAACTGCTCAAGTTTGTGACAAGCTGTTCCCGCCCCCCTCTCTTGGGGTTTAAGGTACACAAGCTCGCCGCCGCTGGCTTGAAACACCAGCTTGTAGCTAAGAAAGCCAGCAGGGTAGCAGATGGGGCTGAATGGAGTAGTGCGTACACGTTGTTCTCAGAGAATAGCGTTGACAGTGTGTCAGAACACCCGGTTGGTTATTTTGGTGCACTGTGTTTTTAGCCTCATTAACTGAGTATTTCAGCTCCATCACTGAAGGATTGGTTATTATCTGTGTATCCTGGTGCTGGTTTTATCTGGGTTTTTTCCCCCTGCGTTCACAGTGTCGACCTATTGCTGTGAGCGTTGTCACTGTGTTGGGGCTTAAAAGCGAAGGGCTGCTGCAGCCGGGCGGGCGCTGTGACGTGAGTGATTAGTATCACGCGTCTGTGCGGCTCAGGCTGCTTTCACTTCTGAACTGAAGAAAACACAGGCTACGAATGTTGACGTCGGGTGTTTGGGAAGAATGATGCATAAGCAGTAGTATATTTTTTTCCTAGCTGCTCACTGTTACTTATTTCATGTCACCTGTTGGCCTTACTGTGTCGTTTCTGGTAATTCACGTTGATCTCCTATAAACTGGCTTAATATTTTTAGCAATTAAAATTGGTCATGGGGGGCTTCCCTGGTGGCGCAGTGGTTAAGAATCCGCCTGCCAGTGCAGGGGACACGGTTCAAGCCCTGGTCCAGGGAGATCCCACATGCCGCACAGCAGCCAAGCCCGTGAGCCTAGAGCCCGTGCTCTGCAACAAGAGAAGCCACCGCAATGAGAAGCCCGTGCACCGCAACGAAGAGTAGCCCCTGCTCGCCGCAACTAGAGAAAGCCCGTGCGCAGCAACGAAGACCTAACGCAGCCAAAAAAAAAAGGCTTGATCCCTGGTTGGGGAGCTATGATCTCACATGCCTCGCGGCCAAAAAACCAAAACATAAAACAAGCAATGTTGTAACAAATTCAATAAAGACTTTAAAAAATGGTCCACATCAAAAAAATCTTAAAAAAAAAAATAAGATAAAATAAAATTGGTCATGGGACAGTTTATGTTTTTCTTATTCATAGTAAAAGAAATAAAGCTATATTTAATAGTTTAAAGAGGCACACAGTGGTATATATAACATAAAATAATATCAAGTTACGTAAGCATTGTATATTGCATCTGCTTGTGAAACCTAATGGATTGGCATTCACTTTCCAATAACCTTGCATTGGACACTGAGTTACGTATCGGTTGTTCTTTTCTTCAACTTTTTACTTTGAAATTATTTAAAATGTATAGAAGAGTTGCAAGAATTGAACAAAGAACTTATTAACCCACTTTGACACATTGTTAACATTTTGCCGCATCTGTTTTATCATTCTCTCTATAATATACATATATTTCTTTCCAAATCATTTGGGAGTAAACGTTGAAGACATCATGTCTCTTGCACGTTTTTCCCACCACCTCAGTGCTCTCTCACACACCCACAGTTAAGTGATCAAAAGTGAGGAGTGCACAGTGATGTACTGAGCTTCTCTGAGCCTCTGCTTCACAGAGTGTGGTCCTGAGACCAGCAGCTTCAGCACCACCTGAGACCTTGTCGGAGTTAAAACATTGTCCAGCCTTGCCCAGACCCCCCGAGTCCACTCAAGGAGGGGCGCAGCCCTCCTGTTTCTACCTGCCCCTTGGTGTCCAGAGCACCTGCAGCGGCCCAGCCATCCCGCAGAGTCCTCCGTGGACTTCGACTTCCCTGGTCTGCAGTCCAGTCCGAGGCTGCACACTGTGTTTACTGGCCGGTTTCCTCCAGTCTTCGTTGAACATTTTCAGTGGGTCCTGGCACATTATCCGAGAATGTCCCTCAGTACAGTGGAGCAGTCCCACTCCTGGGAACAAGTGGACTCACATGTGTTCACACAGTTCTCACGGGATCGCTCAGGGCAACATTACTGACAATGACCGAAACCGATAACGACCAAAAACCGAAACAGTCCAAATGTCCATAAACTGGTCATGGATAAACAGAATGTAGTCTCTCTGGGCAACGGGATAGATTCAGAAATTAAAAAGAATGGATTGCTGATACGGACTACCACGTGTGTGAACATTGAAAACATTGTGCTGAGTGAAAGGACTCAGACAATAGACTACAGACCGTGTGATTCCTTTTACATGAAATGGCTTTAAAGGGGTGGAAATGGGGAACTTTGGGGGGAAATGGCAACATTCTGAAGATGGATTCATTTTTAGATATAAATTTATTTATTTTTGGCTGCATTGGGTCTCTGTTGCTGCGTGCGGGCTTTCTCTAGTTGCGGTGAGCAGGGACTACTCTTCGTTGCGGTGCACGGGCTTCTCATTGCAGTGGCTTCTCTTGTTGCGGAGCACGGGCTCTAGGCGCGCAGGCTTCAGTAGTTGTGGCTCGCGGGCTTCGGTAGTTGTGGCTCACGGGCTGTGGAGCGCAGGCTCAGTAGTTGTGGTGTACATGCTTAGTTGCTCCGTGGCATGTGGGATCTTCCTGGACCAGGGCTAGAACCCGTGTCTCCTGCATTGGCAGGAGGATTCTTAACCACTGCACCACCAGGGAAGCCCTGAAGTTGGATTTAAATTGTACATTTAAATGGGCAAATATTACAGTATGTAATATTTGCGCTTCCCTGGTGGCGCAGTGGTTGAGGGCCTGCCTGCCGATGCAGGGGACACGGGTTCGTGCCCCGGTCCGGGAGGATCCCACATGCCACGGAGCGGCTGGGCCTGTGAGCCATGGCCGCTGAGCCTGCGTGTCCGGAGCCTGTGCTCCACAACGGGAGAGGCCACAACAGTGAGAGGCCCGCGTACCACACACACACACACACACACACACACACACACACACACACACACAAATACAGTATGTAAATTACACCTCAGTTAAGTGTTTTATAAATTGACATCAGTAGCTTAATACAGCATCCCCAAAAGTGCCATCAGGACTAGAGCAGTAAAGTAGAGAAATGGGGAAAAGGGTGTTGGCGTAAGTGCAGTGATTCTGTTTTTCGTAGGCGGTGAATCACTGACTATTTCAGGGGCAATGAATAATAAAGACATGAATATGAACAATTACTGAATAATATTATTCAGTGATCTAGCAGAACTAAAATCCCTTCTCTATCTTCCAAACTCTCAGAGGGAGAAATAAGTGTGCAAAACAAGACAACCAAACCAACTCTGTTTACCAGATAATAGAAAACAGAGTTAACGTGGACAATCATAAAATAGAAAACATAGAAACGAGAGCAAGCTGAACTGCCACAACAGGGAACGTGCGTAGAATAAACTCATTTATTAGAAGAAAAACACTCAGACTGAGTCAGGAAAAAACTGTGTACAAGTGACACACCTAAACAAAGCGATTCAGGAAGACTTAGTGATGCTCCTAGCTGGTATGCAATCCCCAGTCCTCCCAGAAGAAATCGATGGACCTACTTCGTGGGTTTAAGCCCTGGCCTGCAGAACCGGATGTGAAAATTGGCCTCTATGACTCTAATGAAAATTGGGCAACAACGTGAAAGAAACATGTCTCCGCTTTTTGGTTCCTCTTGGGCTTGTAGTGAAGTCTGGAAACCTGGCCGTGTAGGATGTAAAGAGCAGGAAGAAGGTAGATGAAAAGTGCCAGCGGCGTGAATAAATGGCACTAATATGGAAGGTTTCCCGTCGGAACAGTTAGTATTGTCCATCTAAACAGTCATATAAATTAAGTTCTTACATATTAAGATTTTAATGTGATTAGGTAATTTTGTCAGTAAAATGTATTATGAGAGACAAAGCTTACAGTTTCTTCCAGTTTCAAAACCACACCAATCCTAGAAGTAAGAAAACTAAGCGTCTAGTTTCAAGAAGGGAAGTTTGGAGGGACCTACTCCATCAAAAAATTGAGTGGAAGACCTAGAGATTTCTGCCAGCTCCTGGTTAATTAGTTAAAGCCCGTGGTTTTTGCTTCAGTAAAAATTAGGAGTCTTGCTGGAAGGTTCTAGACATTCTGGCAGCCAGTGGAAGAGCCAGTAGGAGGAGTATTACAGGTTTGGAGGACAGGAAAAGTTGAGGGACTTACATTAACTTTCAAAATCCCAAGTAGAATTATAGTGAAAATTCTCTGGTTCTCTGTTGATGATCCCATATAATCATAATTGAGTTACCATTATACCATGAAAAATAATTTTTTGGAAGCCGTGAGACAGTCTTCCTGTTTCACATTTTTTTCAATGATCTAAAACATTTTAAATGCGAAATTTATGTAAGAGTTTTCATATGCTTTTGTGGTTGTCATCAGACTCCAGATTTGGGGAAATCACCATAATAATTATGTTTTTCAGTTAGCTCAGTGTGCGCGCTGAGAGGGCTGCCAGAGTCCAGGTCTGAAAGAAGACAGTGGCTTCTATGTGAAGCATTATCAGTAGCAGTGGCAGGCGCGCGCAGTTTCAGCGCTACGAAACCCCTTACTGCCAGGTAATTGCAGAAGAGTAACCGCTGCTAGAGCTCATTCATGTTTAAGATGTTTAATGAATGGGGTTGTTACAGACAAAAAAAATCATTAAAGTGCTGTAGAAAATTGTTAAGTTGCCATCAGGCCACATAATAAATTGATGATTTGTCTCACTCTGAATTAATGCAAATTCCCGTTGTACTCTGTTTAGTTATGCACAGAATGGTACCCTTGACTCAGATTTCAACAAAGAACTTCATATTTTTTTAAACTTTGAGACACCAAATAGGAAATTCAATTAGCATGATGATAGAAACAGTAAAATGTGTCATTTAACTGCAAAATATATTTCAAACTTTCCATTTACCAATCATTTATCCATTTACCCAGTACTCATTGACCCTGCCTTCAGAGACCCTTTTCTGTTTCAAAAATGTGATGTTTTTATTTTAGTATATTCAAGCATTTGAGAAAATTGTTGCCCTCAATGTACTCAGAATGCTAAATAATAGATGTAATAAATGTTATTTCTGTTTCTCTTTTGGTTCCGTTTCTAACTTTTTAATGAGACATTTAAAGTGGCTTCCCTGGTGGTGCAGTGGTTAAGAGTCCACCTGCCAATGAAGGGGACCCGGGTTCAAGCCCTGGTCCGGGAAGATCCCACGTGCCGCAGAGCAGCTAAGCCCGTGTGCCACAACTACTGAGCCTGTGCTCTAGAGCCTGCAAGCCACAACTGCTGAGCCCACGTGCCACAACTACTGAAGCCCGCGCACCTGGAGCCCACACTCTGCAACAAGAGAAGCCACCGACCGCAATGAGAAGCCCACGCACCGCAACGGAGAGTAGCCCCTGCTCACCGCAACTAGAGAAAGCCCACGTGCAGCAACAAAGACCCAACGCAGCCAAAAATAAATTAATTAATAAATTTATTCTAGAAATAAAGTGGCACATAAACTATAATTAGGGGTAAAGACAGTGGGTTTTAGCACATATTAACATGCCACAGTTTTTGTTTCTTTGTTTTTTTTCGCCTGCATTGGATCTTCGTTGCTGCACGTGGGCTTTCTCTAGTTGCAGCGAGCGGCGGCTACTCTTTGTTGCGGTGCGCGGGCTTCTCATTGCGGTGGCTTCTCTTGTTGCAGAGCACAGGCTCTAGGCATGCGGGCTTCAGTAGATGTGGCACGTGGGCTTCAGTATGTGTGGCACGCAGGCTCCGTAGTTGTGGCTCACGGGCTTAGTTGCCCTGTGGCATGTGGGATCTTCCCGGACCAGGGCTCGAGCCCATGTCCCCTGCGTTGGCAGACGGATTCTTGACCACTGCGCCACCAGGGAAGCCCCCACAGGGATTGTGTAAATGAAGTTTTTATTTGCCAGTAGAGAACCACGTAAAGACTGATGATAAGAAGCATGTAAGTCTCTGGAGTCAGCAATTCATGGCTGTGCTCTCGCTGCTCGGTTTTGCCCACGTCATAATAAACTATGCGCTAAATTCAACATGTAGATGAAACAAAATCCAGTTGAAATGCAGTTTCGGCCGTTCGGGCACCTGTCGTGGGCTGATGTGCCATGTGCTCGGGGTCCCAGTCAGGGCAGGAGCCGCACTCCTGTTTTGTTCTTTCTTGTCCTCTACAGTGGTTAGTAGGTAATTATTTTTTATGCTATTCTTTTTTTTCCTTGTAACAAAATTAATGTTTTCATTATAGAAAATTGGAAGTTGTGGTTAAGTATAAGGAAGAAAAAAAATACCTATAATTGCTCCCATTCTAACCATTATCGTGTTTTTACGTGAATGTGTGTTTGTATCTATCTATCTATCTATATATATACATATGGGCATGTGTTTATGCAGATAGACATGATTTTAAAATATAACTTAAGCTGTATCGTGTGCAGTTTTACAGGCTGCTCTTTTCACTCAACATTACATCAGGATCATTTTTCCACATATTAAATAGTCTTTGAAATATTTTTAATAAACTTCGTAATGTCCCATCATGTGAGTCTACCACAATTTACATACTGATTTTTTTTATTAGTTGTTTACAACTGTTCCTTCCTAATAGTGCTGTCAGCATCCTTGTACCTAAATCGTCTGCATCTCTGATTATTAGGATCCGCTCCTTAGAAGTAGAGGCCATGGTGAAGGATGTGAATGTGTGAGTTCCTGCTGCTTCCTGCCAGGCTGTCCCCACAGAGTTATCAGGTTACACCCACAAGAGGAGGATTTGGAGCCGGTGTCCGCAGAGACCACTGAATAGACTCGCCTCTGCAGTGGCATTTGAAGCGTTTTCTCTCCTGTCACAGCTCTAAGGAGGGAGCATGCTAGTGTAAAGGGCGCCAACCAGGTCCACCGTCCTGGTTCTCACTCCTCCCCAGGCACCAGCTGGGCTGCCATTTTGCTTTTCTGTCGCCGTTTTCTGCTTGCATTTGGCAGAGAAGTTTAAGTAGCCAGGCTTCTGAAACCCTGCAGCAGTGGAAAGGTGAGAGCACACAGGCCCAAGAGCTAGCAGACAGAGGCTGTCTAGGTAACGACAGTCCCCACTGCACTGTGCTCCTGCTGGAAGGGAACATATACATCACATCTTGCATCTAATGATGTTCATGCATCACAGAGAGAGGCACTGGTTATCTGTAACCATCAAAGGACCTGGCGTGTTCAGTCTGGAACACTGTCTAGGAGTTCAGCCTGCAGATACTTTTTCCCAGTGTAAAATGACTTGAGGACGTGGTTACTTATTGCATCATTGTTTGGAAAAAGTGGAAACGACCCAAGTGTCCATTTACAAACTGTGCTGCACGTGCCTGCTGGGACCCGTGTAGCTACAGAGAAGCAGTGGGGACACTGGCTTGGTGTGGGAAGGCCACAGAGACGCATTATCAGATGGAAAACCGTCAAGGTGCAGACAGCGTCTCTAGTGTGCTAGCGCTTTATGCTTGTTAGGTGGAGGAGGGAGAAAACACTCTCGTCTCTGCATCAGGTCTCTGTGGAAGGTCCTCAAGACACCCACAGCATTGCTGCTCATGGGGTGGGAACTGGGCAGCTGGGGGAATTTTTACACTATAGCTGAAAAAAATAGCCAGAACGTCATTTTTATGTCTAAAAAATGACAGCAGATGCCCGACACTATCCGTGCTGGTGCTGCGGACAAGCTTCTTTGCGTGTCTTGTAAACTGGTCGCTAGAGGTTTCGCCGGATTCTAGATGTGAATGTTCCCTTTGGCAGTAACGCTGCACAGACGCCATCGTGATGCTCACGTCCTCTGGCTCCAGCATCAGACCCCGTGGTCGTGAGTCGTCTCTGCAGCGCGGCTCCGTCTGTTTCCAGCGTCCTGGCTTTCAGCATCTGGGCGTCTGAGGGGCTGAGCGGTCACAGTGCTGCGGTCGCCGCCTAGATCCACCCTTCGCTGTGCTTGAAAGCAGCCGTCTTCCAGTTGTATCGTTTCTTCCTTTCTTAGCTGATTCGTCTATAACGAAAAACTTTATATTTTCTCATCAACTCTTTGGTTACCCTGAGGACTGTTTGTACAGCCAGGATACAGTAATCAAGGAACTCTTGATTATTCCTCATTTACAAGTTATCCGAACATTCAGGGGGATAACTGGCATCTCCTGAAGTACATTTTGGTTCCTTTCTTATCATTATGAACTTTTCACATTTGATGTGTTTCAGTCCATTGCAGTCGCTCTTCCATAGTGCCCCATCCGTGGGTGGGCGAGGGCCTCCAGGTGGGCTCCAGGGTCCCAGGTAGCTTTGCGTCGCTTTCTTGCTTTCTGGTATGACAAGATAGAAACACTTGTCACGTACATTTCCCGGCCCACGTCTAGAATCGGATGTTTTCCCGGGAAGCCCTGTTTCCTTTCTTTGAGAATAGGTTGGTAGAGACCGAAACCCAGGCACTTGATCTGTCCGTTGTCACAGGTGGTCATTGTGTCCAGGCCTTTTCAGTGGACAGAGCTAGGAAATGGGCGTTCTTTTGTCCCCAAGAGAAAAATTCATCACAAGTTCAAACTGCTATTTCAAATTGAAATTTAGGCGTATAAGGTTTTTACCTCTTTGATGTTTACATTGGGGTCTCTCTATCTATGAAAACCGTGGCTCCTGTTAGTTCATTTGCTTCCTCTGATAAGTTCTAGGGCCCTGCTCGAAGTTATGGTTCTCTCTAATACTTACATAACGGTGGGGCTTCCCGGTGGCGCAGTGGTTAAGAATCCGCCTGCCAGTGCAGGGGACACGGGTTCGAACCCTGGTCCGGGAAGATCCCACATGCCACGGAGCAGCTAAGCCCGTGCACCACAACTACTGAGCCTGCGCTCTAGAGCCCGCGAGCCACAGCTACTGGAGCCTCATGCCACAACTACTGAAGCCCACGTGCCATAACTACTGAAGCCCGTGTGCCACAACTACTGAAGCCCACGCACCTAGAGCCCGTGCTCCACAACAAGAGAAGCCACCGCAATGAGAAGCCCGCGCCGCGCACCGCAACGAAGAGTAGCCCCCGCTCGCCACAACTAGAGAAAGCCCGCGCGCAGCAATGGAGACCCAACGCAGCCCCAAAAATTAATTAATTAATTAAAAATTAATAGCATCATTAAAAAACACTTATATAACAGTTGTACATCATACTACAGTGGTTTTAGAACAATACCAATAATTTACTGTGACATTTCTGAAAACCGTTTAAGATTTCTTTGAAATTCTATAACACTGGAAATATTCCTCTCTGTGTGCTTAAGCCACCAATACATAGGTTTGTTTCATTTTGCTTTCGATATTTAGAGATTGCCTTTTTCTCTCCTTGATTGAAATTGTTTTACGTTCACTGTTGCTGCATCCACGTGGCCCCTGAGCCTAATCCACACGGTGTGGTCCATCTGGAGAAGACGGGCTTCTCTGCCTCCTGTGGTTTGGTGTGAAGCAGAGGCTTGTATCCTCAGCTCTTTACCCTTTTGTACCTTTTTGAACTTTAAACACATTTTTAAAAGACTAAAAAATAAAAGCTTTAGAGACCCTGTTCACTGACAAGGCTATGTCTCCCATGAATTAATGCTATTCTTTATCCCTTTTTATGCGTGGAGCCCAGGGTACAGTATTTGGTAGAAACTCAGAGCTGAGTCTCGAGCGCAGTGAAAGAGCGAGTGTCCTTTTGGGGAAAGGTGACTGGGGGTAGCAGCTTTTGTGTACGAGTCTGGAAAGCTCATTTCAGGCCGTGCTTGTTAACCTTCTCCTGCGCACCTGCTGTCTTCCAGGAGCTGTACCCCGCGTTCTGCATTCACAACGGGGGCTCCGACCTGGAGCGGCTGCCCACGGCCAGCACCTGCATGAACCTGCTGAAGCTCCCCGAGTTCCAGGACGAGGCGCTGCTGCGGAGCAAGTTGCTCTACGCCATCGAGTGCGCCGCGGGCTTCGAGCTGAGCTGAGCTGAACCCGCGCGGCCGCGGCCCCCCCTTGACGGCGAAGGCCAGGGCCTCTGCGCGCCACCTCTGGCCAGCAGGGCGCTCAGGCTGGACCCCTGGCTCTCCTGGGTCCCTCCCCCGCCACCCCTCTTCCTGCATTTTTAAATGATTTATTAAGTTGTGCTCTCGTATTTAGATGGGTGTTGCTTTTCAAATAACTTAAAATAACAAATGTTATGTGCCACGTGGCTAACTTAGTAATTTTGCCAAGAAGAGCACAGTTTTAAGACTGGTGGCAACTCAGTGAAATTAACCAAAGATGAAGCTTTGGCTTTGCTGGTGGAACCGAGCGCGGCCCGAGCCACGCGGCTCGGGCTCCTGGCAGAGGCGCTGCTTGTGGCTCGGCCCAGCTCTGGGTCTGCAGAGAGACAGGCCTGAGGGCGGAGAGGCTCGCTCTGGGGGCCACTGCTTCTTGTGTGGTTGAATTGTTTACAGGCCTAATTGGTAAAACTAAAGGCTTTTTTTTTTCCCCCCCTGCTGCCTTTTCCCAGAGTGGTTAGGTTTGGAAAGTAGATAACAATGGTAATATTTTATTTGTGTTTTTTAAGCCATTTCCCCAAAATGGGACTAGCATGCTTGTTTCCGGCCTGCCGCTGACCTGCATCTTGATGGTTCGGACGTTACTGTGTGGGGGTGTGTGTGTGAGGTGGGAAATTCCTTCTGTTTCCACTTCTGTCTCCACCTTGTGCCTGGAGAGCTTTCAGGGGAGGGGGTCCCGGTCCAGTCCCTGCGGCGTGTGTGACCCACGAGGGCTCGGGGAGAGGAGACCCTGCAGCGCCATCTCAAGTCACTTGAACCAAAGTGGTCCTGCGCCTTTGCACTGCGGCCCGGGCTCCGCGGGCCGGTCCTCCTGGATGTGCGGGGATGCCGCGCTCCCGTACCCTCTGCCCCCCATCGGTGCTGCTGTGTAGGAGGGGCGGGCGGCCTGGGGCCTGGGTGATTCTCTCGGGATTCGGCACTTTATCAGGACCTGGGTGGTTTCAGTCTCCACAAGTCTCCAAAAGCGGAGAGCGTTTCAGAGCATCACCTGTGAACACAGATGCTGGGGCTGCGGAGGACTCTGGACCGCGTGCGACTTCTCTCCCATGGCTGGTGTTTCGCTGCCACTGGAGCTCTGGGCTGTCGTATTGAACTGGCCAGAATTAGCAATATACTTCTAAATGTGGGAGAACTGAATGACACTTTCAAGACCGTGACCGTTATCGAAACAAAATGTATAATTTCTTAATTTGAAGAATAAATTAAGTGTTTAAATGCTCTTTGTAGTCTTGATATACAGAAATAAAATAATTAGGCTTTGTCCTTGGTTTTATTTTTATTTTAGGTCATTTTGTGTTGAATGTTCTATATCTTCTTTACTTATTAGTTGATTTGTATATTTTATTACCAGTATTTTGGAAATGGAATATCTGGGACTGAAGAGAAATGGGCAGTTACACTTACTTGGGTTTTTTTCCTCAGCTATTCTGAGCATATTTATTTGTATGTTCCAGTGGCTAAATATTTGCATTAAATTTTTTCCCAAGTCCGTGTTGGAGTCGTACCCCAAATCATTGTAATTAGTTCTGTTCTGCCCTAGTGAAACCACAACTTCTGAACATTAGTTTGATCAGGCTTGTTTAAATGTCATCAGTTCATACAGGGTACAGCCACCTATGCTTCAGAGAAGGTATACTAGACAGTAACGCCTGCCGTCTGAAATGCGCTGAGCGAGGCTTCGAGAAGGTTGACCTGTAACAGCCCTTCCCGCACATGCTCAGGTGAGAGCCAGGCCTCTAGGAGTGACCCTCACCTTGCCAGGTCTCACTGGGTTTAGGGTTACATTACTGAGAAGTGGTACTTCAGGAAGATTCTCCTTTCTCCATTGTCTCGTTTGCTGTCCCTGGTTCTGTTCTGCTCTGCTTGGTGCTGGTAGGTTCGTGCTCACACCATGGGAGAGGCTGCAGACATTTCTCACAGGCTGTGTCTGCAAATAGACTTCTGCCAGGTGTCCCAGGAAAGCTGGTTAGGGCAGTGGTATCACACTGCGGTGCTCACACTGCCCTGGTGCCACTCTGATACTGGCGATGTGTTGGTTCCGTGGCTCTTGGGGGCGGGGGTGGGTGTGCGTCTACGTGGCTCGGCTCTGGGTACCGCGGGGCCCCAGTGAGGTGGCCCCGGGCAGACCAGGCCTGCGGTCTTGTCAGTCAGAGGCAGACAGTCGTGCTGATCACAGTGTGACCCGCACAGACCTGTCATGTTCGTGGGCTTGGAGCCCAGGCCGGGCTCTGCTGGGGGCAAGCTTCCTGAAGAGGGGAGTGTGGAGGTGGAAGTAATTTAATATTTAAGAAAGAAAGAAATTTGATATTTAAGAAAGGTAAACAGCTAGAGGTGCATATTAGTGCAAATAAAATAGAAATTTTATTTGAGCTAGCCTAAATGAGCTATAGCCACACTAATATTTAGCTGAATTCCTACAGTCGCCTCTTGGAAATTCCTCTGCTCCTGGTCTGAAAGTGTTAACGTACAATAGCTAGTAATCTGTGCCCCAAGTAACAGCCACATCTGCGCCACACAGATCAGCAGATCTCCCCTGGGATTTGTTTTAGGGGAATCACCCACGCTCCCCAAACAAAGAGTGAGTCGCTGAGCCCCACCTTGGCTTCCAAAGGCTTCTTCATGGCACCACAGTGGTGGCCAGAGTGGGCAACCGTGACCAGCAGGTCCAGGTGGGAAGTTGGGCGAGAGCTGAGAGGATGGAGGCAAGGTCCGGCGGGGGCTCCTGTGGCCTCGGAGCATCCCGGACCACCCAGAGGTCTCTGCTTCCAGAAAACTGAGTTCTTAGCCTGAGTACTTCGTGCCTCAGCTTACACATCTGTGAAATGGGGATAATCTAGATGCAGGTCTCCCCCATTAAGAAGGACTCACTTCAGTACCTGGTTTTGCTATAACCAAAAGAAATCCGAAGAGGATTGGCACTTTTACCAAAAAAAAAAAAAAAAAAAAGGCGAAAAGGGAAAATCTCGTTCAGCTCAGCGTGTCTTGCAGCGAGTGTGACAGAGGCAGCGCCCACCCCAGCAGTGAGAGCGGCCCGCCAAGCTCCTTCCTGGAACCACACTCAGCATCTCAGCGTCAAGCCGCTACAGCTGTGAACCGTATCTGTGAGCACCTGTGCTTCATCTCGATTGATTTTTGTGCGTCCACGAGCAGGACGGGCCCTCAGGTGACTGCTTCTTGGCCGCATGCCTTTTCGGCTAAGGAAGGGTTTCCTCGGATGCTCTGTTTTCGGAGAGCGGTGGAACCTGTACTTTGGCTTCACAGGGATGTTATACCCGTTTGATGAGAGTTGTGAACAAGCTTTTGATGGCAACATATTATAAACCCACTAGAACCTTATTTTAACTTAGGTGGTTTGATGTCACAGGTTGCAAATGTCACGTTTTGACATCCGTGCCTTAATAATAACATCGTCGGGACTTCCCCGGCGGTCCAGGGGTTAAGAATCCGTCTTGCAATGCAGGGGACACTGGTTCGCTCCCTGGTGGGGAAAACTAAGATCCCACACGCCGTGGAGCAACTAAGCCTGCGTGCCACAGCTACTGAGCCTGTGCGCCGCAACTAGACGCCAGCACGCACACCACGATGATCCCGCGCGCCGCGACTGTAAGACCTGAGGCAGCCAAAAAATAAACTAACAAATAATTTTTAGAATAATCGTAACGTTGTTGCCCGTAGGCCACGTCATTCCTTTTTCCTCTGCGGAGACGGGCAGAAAAGTCACCCTTCAGCGATCTCCTCTCCCTTCCCCGTCTCTTGCTGTGAAGGGTAGTCGTGGTAGCCGTGCCTGGTGCTTGTCACGCGGCTCTGCGGCTGGGCCCCTCCTCCAGCGCCTGCTGCCCAGCCGTCAGCTTGTGTGTGTAGACTGACGACTCGCTGTGTCGTTCCCGAGGTGCCGCCTTCGCCTTGGAAACTTGGTGAGCTGAGGATCTGCTCACATTCCCCTGCGCTGCAGTTCAGGGACGGGCGCCCACCCTGGCCTCCTGGGCCTGCCGAGCCTCCCCCAGAGGCCAGAGCCACAGGGGAGGACTTCGCTTGCGGAGGGCGTGCGAGGTCGGGCGGGTGGTCCAAGCAGTGCGCTCAGTGCAGGGGCCGGGCCTGGCTCAGGATGGCGGCATCAGGACGGCGCGCCAGCTGGGGACGTCCTACAGCAGCTTTGGCTCCGATGCAGCACGAGGTGCTGGCCAGTGCCGTCTGGCCAAGGAACCAGGAACCGGAGGGACCCGTGAGAGCCTGAGCCGGGGGAGGGTCTGTCTAAAGGCACTCACGTTGTGTGACATCATTAGCTGCCTCTGGCTGCTGGAACCCGCTGCCACAAACGGCGTGACAGCACTTTTACCCTCTTGCGGCTCTGGAGGCTGTAGGTCTGAAATCGAGCGTCAGAGACCCCGGGGTGGGGCGGCACACGCGTCCTGCCCCTCCCAGCCCCGTGCTCCCAGCCCTGCCGTCCTGGACATGCCACTGCCTCTGTCGGCGTCCCACCACCTCCCTCTGTGTTTCTCCTATGAGGACGTTTGTCCACTGGCATCAGCCCCCATAACCCAGAATGACCTCACCTCCAGGCCCTCAGCTGAGTTACATCTGCAGAGACCTCCTTTCAAGTACAGTCAACTCGTGGTTCTAGGGACTGGGCCGTGGACATAACCGGGGGTTGACCATCCCCCCACTACACGTGTTTTTCTAAGAGGCAGAGGCTACCACGCTGTCTGAAAACCGGAGCAGCGTGGGAGGTGGGCCCGCTCGTGGGAAGTTGGGGCTGCCTCATTCAGGCTCCGCCGTGGCCGCGTGGCCTGGAGCAGGTGTCTTGATGACCCTCCATGAGATGAGGAGGCCACGCCACATCCATGTTCCCCAAAGCTGCCTGAAGATGATCCTTTCCCTATAGCGCTGGGCTCATAAGTCTGTGTCTTGAAAGCGTCCCAGGCAACCCTTCCCAGGTCATTATGGGAAAACAATTAGGTAACCTCCAAACCTCCAGCCAGAGGCAAAGAAGTTGCCAGGCGGAGCCACACAGCAGCGTTCCAGCCCCGGGAACCGTTCCCTCCGCTGGGGAGTCCCGACCCTCCCGCCCCGGGAACCGTTCCCTCTGCTGGGGAGTCCCGACCTTCTGCTGCTGGGGCTGAGCCTTGCCCCAGCTGAAGCGTCTCGGTCCCCTGCCAGGTGCGCAGGGCCAGGCTCTACCTGCAGCCGCAGGCACCCAGGCGCCTCTGCCCCTGGGGCTCGTCTTCCAGAAGCTGAGTGCGGCCCACGGGCTTGTGGCTGCAGCAGGAACTGCCCTGCACCCCCCAAGGTGCTTGGCCACCCCCAAGGTGGCCCCACTTTCTCGGCCACCTCCACGTCCCAAGCCATCACCTCGGGGTTGCCTGGATCTGCGGGGTGGCCTCCAAGTGTCTCCCACCCCCGACCTCACTAACCTTCGGTCTCTTCTCAACTCAGAGCCAGAGGAAGTCCCTGTGGCCCCATGTCAGCCCCTGCCTCTCCTCAAGCAGAACTTGCCAGGGTCTCCAGCT